TGCCTTACCTTAAAGAATTTCCCAGAAAGTTTTTAAACACAGTATTAAAGATAATTAACTGGTTCTGGAATATTTCAGAGAAGAATGTTATTAGCTGAGTCTCAGGAGTCTCTCAAAGACGCACCTTTCATCCTGAGCAAGTGCCAGCTATGTTAATTAAGAAAAAGTTGTGAAGCACAAATGAAACTACCCTGCAATATTAAGCTAAAACTGCTTCAGTAGGGACTTCAGATACTTCCTCCTAAGACTTCTCCTCTGGAAAGATAGGCTCTTAGGCTTCTGTTCTTACAATTATGGAGCTGAATTATGGCTAACCCTCCATAGATGCATTTGCATTAAAAAACAAACAGCGAGCGATTGCATCCATGGAGCCAACCACTTTATTACCCAAATAATTATATTACTGATCAGCAGTTCCTTTGATCAAATGTCCTGTCTATTCCTGGTTGATCAGGAATTCCCAGCTGGTTTTTCTTCTTCATATGTTTGTTCATATTTGCATCTTTTGAAGTCAGATTAATCCAAATAGTTTAGCCTTGTGCCTTTTAACTCTGTAACTCAAATTACACACCTGTAGACATGCATTTTTCTGCATTACCTATTGGTCTCTCCCATTGTTGGCTGATTCAGGTACTTGAGTTTGTATAATGTTTAACAATCCAAATAGTAACTTAATAAACACAAGAAGAAAAAAAATAATTCCTTATTTCATATATGAACAAAGCCACTACTGTTTTTTCTGTATTTCATATCTTTTTCTACTATATAATGTACAAAGTGCAGTTATATCTTAGTGCTTTATTGATATTTTTGTATTGTGATCTAAAAAAGTGTTACCCATTTAGTATCTTACCCCTAACAAAATAATTATTAGTCTATTTGAAGGCGGTCAAACAGTGAAATAGGTTGCTCACAGAGGCTGTGGGGTCTCCATATTTTGAGAAATTTTGTCTGGGCAAAGTCCCAGACAGTAGAGTACCAGGCTACTCTAAGGTGTCCTTGCTTAAGCAGGGTGTTGAACTAAATGACCTGTAGGGTCCCTTCCCCAGCAATTCTGTTTAATTGGGTAATCTGAAGACAAGAGTATTTAAATGCATATCATACAGTGTCTTTACATAAAGAGTTGGGCCTTACTTTTTTGTATAACAGATCTACTTTAAAATGTAAGTAAAAAATTTAAAAAAGATCCAGCTATGACTTCATAACCAAGCTGAGTCTTTTTGATAAAGCTGTCATAGAACTGATTGTAATAAAATCTGTCACAGAGAAAGGCCATGCTCATCTCTCCAGTCTGTGATAATAAGTGACGATGTGATCCACAGGCAGAAGATTCTGCATTGGTTTTAACCTTGTGATTGCTACCAAAAAATGAGCAAATGTACAAATTATGCTGACAGGCATGGGAGACTAATAAATTGAAAGTCAGTAGAGTAAAAAGGATTTGAACATGAAAACCTGGTCAAAAATTGATTAGTACATTAGAATATCTGTAAGACATGCCATGAGCAAGATATTCAGGGACCCTACGTGTCTGTGGCCTTACTGCAAGCCACAGCTGAGTACCTGAATTGTTATAACTGCATGGAAATAATTACGTCTTCCATGCCCTCTAACGATGAAGTCACAGTCTTCATAGACAAAAAATTAGATGAAGCTCACTAGTCTTGAGAGTGTTTGATCTGAGGTCACTCTTGAAGTTCTGTCTTCTTATCTTCTACCTCCTTTATTGGTATATGGAAACATGTAGCAGACGATGTGCTTGTAAAAATGAACTGTAAGTATATGCTATTATATTGATTGGTTTCTTTAACCTGTTTTAAAAGTGCATGTTTTTTACAGAAAGTTTAGATTTACTTTCTATGAACACATTATCCATTATCAACACACTGTAATACTGCCCAGGTATTCTGACATGGAAGAATTTGGGGGTTCAGGTCACGCTGCAGCCATGATCAAGAAACTGTATTTGCAAAACTCTGACTTGGATGCATATCTTAAGACAGTTGGCTGGCATTGTGGTTGCACCATGAAAGAGATCAATGCAAGTAGCTGTGGCACAGGGTCCTTCCTTGTGTTCATGAGATTCTTCAGTGCAGAGATTCAAGACCTCTTACCAATGCAAAGTAGGGACAGAGTAGATACAGTAGTTAGCCACTAATGGAACTGGCCAAATGCTACAAGTGAGCACAGATGATCATCAAAACCATGGCACACTGAATTTATATCTTTCTTTTTTTCAGTGCTACTGAAGAAAAAAACCCTGTTCCTTCTGAAATAATGCCTTTCCTCACTGGTCCCAAAGCCCATGCCTGCTTGTAAGCTGCTCAGCTTTGCCTGTAGTGCTTGCCTACACTTTGATTCACAGTTGTAGTTTAGACTTACATCAGATACTGCTCTGGAAAACACATTGCTCTAATTCTTGTGAAAGCAGAGTGAATTGAGAAGTAGCTGGATTTTTGAGGAACACTTTCTGTGCTGCAGAGCTCTGATTTTTGTGAGGACAAGCAAGTAAAGACTTATCCTGCTTTCATTACAAAGCAGAGAAAATCACTGGCATCAGATGAGTGCTGCTACCACATGGGAATACAGATAAACAGGCTTAGAAAAACTGAGACATATGGAAAGATGGGAGTAAAAGTTACAGAGAATACAGTATATAACAGTACAAAAGGCTAATGTAAAAGCAGCACCAGCGTGCAGCCAAAAATCTCTTCACTTGGGACTGCACTCACCTCAGCTATTCAAGAATCCTAAAATAGTTTGGGTTGGAAGGGACCTTAAATACAGATCACCTAGTTCCAACCCCCTGGCACGGGACATGCCCAGTTGCTGAAGATTGCCAGTGAGATGTGCAATATATGAAAAACACTGTCCAGTGAAAGTGTACAGTTTGGAGCAGTGCTCTTTAGCCCCACTGTCTTTCACAGAAGTAAGACAGGTAATATGATTGTCCCTTTCTACCCACAGAACTGAAAATTTCAAATGAAAATGGTTCCTAAGGAGTCAGAAAGAAGTAAAATCAAGATGATGAAGAGTAATCCCTTTTATTCTGTGACTTGGCAAGTTTTCTGAACTGTGTATTACCCAGCTTCTCTGAAAGTAAACTGTGAGATAAAGAGTTCTCAGTGTTATGTTATTAAACACAGAGGTATATTATTAAAGCCCTTCAAACTCTCCAAATGAAAAGTTCTCCATATTGTTCTCATGTATTTTATCTCAGGATGTCAGTTTTCTCAATGACCGTGTCCTCTGCTAAAGTTATTCTCAAGTTAGGGGACTGTACTGCTGGTCTACCTTTCAACTGGTTTCTCAACTTCACATAGTCTTGGCATTGGGCAGTCTCCAGTTCTTACCTTGCAATCTTCTGGCTGGTTTATGACAGCTTTCAGTTTCTCATTCTTTCAATGCTGGATCATTTACTTGAATCAGTTTTTTGAAAATGTGACCTTTTTGCAGACCTCTGACGTATTTCTTCCTTCTCCTCCAAGGAATCCAAGACAAATTGCTTCTTTCTGAAGGTCTTCTTTCACTACTGCATCCCAGTTCCTCTGCTTTTTAATCAGAGTGAGAGGTTGTGCTCTGTCTCTGCTGCCAGACTTGTTTACCAGTAAATATTCCAAAAATACCAAGAAGCACTATTCCACGTTCTCCCAGATTGCCTTTTATGCACAGGAGGAATTTCTTTAATTAATTTCAGCTCTGAAACTCTTCACTATAATTCAAAGCAGCTGCTGTTCTGTCCCCACTGTTGATGAGCTTTGTCTTCATATGTCTGGGAGAAGGACAGAAAGGGCCATGCTGGCTAAAATTGTTTTAAATTGGTTTTCAGCGTGCAAAATAAACCAGACAGCTCCTGGGTGAAACTGACTGTAGTTTCACTGCTGCCTCTGCAGACATTTAATCTCTCTGGCTGGTGAGGATGGGACTCACAGCAGAGACAGAAGGTATTGACTTTCCCACTTTTTTGAAAAATACTGTTTTCTTCCCCACCTCTCCCCACCCCCCTCCCAGCTGACTGAGGCGGTTTCATCTGAATTGTCATTCTTAAATAATTGTCCTAGTAGGAGCAGTACATTTCAACCTCATGCCATCCTTTGCAGATTTAGGCTAGAGAGATGCAGCCTGACATTCTGAGGCTCTACACACTGTGAAGGATTGCTTTGATCAGGTTGTGTTTGTAATTTGAGTCAGTAAAATAGAATTCTTACTAATTGTGTTTAAGGCATGATGCATTGTGTAATCCACAGAGAAACTCGTTTCAAAAGCACTTTAAAGGCAAATAAAAGACAAAATAAAAACAGCTGTTCCACTGAGTCATTTTCCCAATGTGCAACTTAAGCAAAACAGAGAAAAAGCCTCTCCCAGTTGTAAGTTACTTGTGTTGATATGATTATGAAGGAGGGTAATGCTAGTAATGTGGGGAAAAACTACAGAAAACTCATCTCCACATTTCTTTTTATACCAGAAGTTTGGAAACAGAAAACAAAAAACTAAACAACAAACCCTTTGGAGTAAAAAAAACAGAAAAATCTGTTTCTTAAGAGATACTGGTACCTAACTAAATTATAAATAGCAAGCCATGTATTGATAGTCCAGTATAATTTGCAAAGATAAGAATGAGTGGAAGATGAAAGGAAGGGAATTAAAATAATGAAACAAGATACTAAAAAAATCATGTCACATGTGCATATGTGCATATTTTCATGTGTTCGCGTATAATACAGTCTCTGGAAAAGAATGTTGTAAGATCTGGTAAAGGAAATGGAGGTAACTGCACTACATGAAAATAAAGACAAGACAAAATGTACAGCAGGCACTGCTTTTTCATCAGTAGAATTTTGAGTGAACGAGTGAACAGCCCTTTTCATCTTAGAATGGCCTTCAGCCCACACAGCTTTCAGAGAGAAAATGTAAACTAAGTTCTATCAAGATAAGCCTTGAAAATACAGAGCTGGAAGGAGTACAAAGATGTGACATGCATGTGTTTTTCTTGTTTCCAGATATCTCAATAAGCTTGCTCTCCTTAGTTGTCACAGCCTGTGGACTTGCTCTGTTTGGTGTCTCTCTGTTCGTATCTTGGAAGCTTTGTTGGATCCCTTGGCGAGAGCGTGGTCTGCCATTTGGGAGCAAAGACAACAAACAAGAATCGCTGAACTACACAGATACAGAGACCAATGACCATGACTACAGTGAGGATTATCTGGGACAGCCTACAGCCTATCCGGAGTCCTCCATGAAGATCAGCCACACCTCCCCTGATATTCCATTAGATGCTCAGGCAGGAACGAAGGAGAACTGTGTACAGAATGTGCGAATGCATCGTCAGGTCACTGAACCAACCTCTTCTGATCGGTCAGTAACTCTAGCTTCTCTCTGATATTAATGAATACAGGTGCAGTCAAAAGAGCACAGCTTGATTATCCAGTACACTGAATGTATAATTTTTTGGCACATTCTTTCTAAAATAAAATTGCACAAAAGTTATTCTTTGAGGTATGCAAACCTCTTAGGTTAAAAGGACAGGATCACAATACTATTCCACTCTTCTATCAACTACTATCTCATTTGTGCCTCTCCCTCAGAAGCTGGACAAGACAGAGCACTGTGTGGCTCTTAAAGCACCAGAACAGCCTAGATTTAGCTTGTAAAGCATATTCATTTGCACTCAGCACTGTTGCTGAATACTCAGTGATATGTCCTCAAAAATTTTACAAGAGCCAAAGGAGAAAAGTAGGGCAAGCTAATGCAGCACTTGGAAGTTAGAAATAGGATTAAAAATCATGACTGTGGGGGGAATAGTGACTGAACAAGAGTCAGTGGGGTCTCCAGGGCAACTGGAGAACCAGTACAGGAGGGAAGAGGAAAAAGAGAGGGTAAGTGTGTGTATAGGGGCAAGTGATGAAAGAATTATATTTCACACAGTAAGAAAAAGGATCAGCATGTGAAGAGACAGTAGATGTCTTGAGTCAAAGCAGATGTACTTCAGCTGGAAAGGTACAGCACTAGCCCTAATGCTCTTTACTAGCCTCCTTCATGGACATCTAAGAAAGCAAATTTAGCCAAGACTTGTGCCTGCAGGCACACCTGAACATGGGAATGATGACAACAGCCAGTTCAATAATTGCCAGTTGTCCAAAACATGTCTCAGAAAGAATTTGAGAAGTCCACAGAACATTGTTAATGTTACATAGTAGAAGATCCAGGTGCCCTTCCTCCTTAGATTAGCATAAGAATGACTTCGGCTTATACTGTTGTAGGAATCTATGGGGAGGTCAAAGCCACAATTACGGGTACTGAAGCACGACCCTGCCACACATAAGATTGAATTCCAGCTAAGGACTTATAGCCCACAAGTACAGTACAGGACTAGTGCTGCTGTTTTCAGACTGCTGGGAAATACATATGTAAGACTCATTAGCAACAGAAGATTCATATCTGACATCCTAACATCAAGAGCTCTCGTGTGTCTTTGATACTGTGAAAGTATTGTGCCAGATACAGACTTCCTCTGCTACAACAGGGCAGCAATTCTGATACTTAATCAAATGACAAATGCAGAGTATCACCACAGCATAGTCGTCTCACAAGGAGTAGCAGCAATCCCAGTCTATAAAAGAGCTTGCCTTAGTATCCTCAGTGCATGCACAATGTCTTCACTCTTGTCAATCTCTGCAGACCTTGCTTCTGGCAGCTGTTTCCAGTCTGGCTCTCTCCAGCAGGTTTTTATTCCACTGGCTCTCTGCCCACAAGGGCATGACTTGTCCAAGTCCCACCCCTACCCTATATCATTTCCTGATACAGGCTTTGCACTTTAGTCCTCTCTTTCATTGCCTGTTACTTTTGATCAGGTCTTCTCCAAAAGACTCTTTCACTGATCAGGAGGGGCCGATCTACCTTGCACTGTGTACTTTGTTCAGCTTTGTCTCTGCTGCTTTCCTTCGTAACTGAGTGGTTGTGGCTTTCCTCTGTGGCCACAGAGACCAGGCACCAGCCCCACCACAGTCCTTGCTAAACTATCTCTCCAGCCTTTCTCCCTTCATTTTATTCCTCCCACTTTGGTGAGGAGCATAAGAGTTAAATAATAAAAATCTTTTTTTGTAACATAATAATATTTTATCCTGAAACGACTATTATATAGCTATAAAGTTATGTACTTATTATACAAGAAAAAATAGTATATAAGAGGCTGTTCCTGTTTTAAGCATGCATAAACACATATTCACAAGGAATGAATGAACAGTGATAGCAGAGGAACTATTGCTGATTATATTCAATATAAATAGCTTCGGACTAATCCTGTGCTAGCATTTTCCACATGCTCTTTATATGTACAACCACAGCTCATGGTACTCCAAGACTCTGGATGATTGCTGCATATGAATAGGAAAAAAAGTGGAATCCAACTCATACAAGGTTAGAATTTTACCTAATCCAGTTTTCACATCCCACTACCCTGACAGGGTTTGCAAATTTGATTTCTGTTACTATCTCATGAAGTGGAAATTTCAATCACAGTAACTGAGTGACTCCAGGTAATAAATTTCACTGGACCGAAGCTAAAAGCAACTTTTCTCTCCTCAGAGTAATGAAACTAAAGGAGCTTTTCAGCCAAAGTACTACAGAGTTTATTATATCAGGTATGAGAGGAAAAACAAAACAATTGTTGAGGAGGTCAACAAACCATTTCAGACCAGAACAGCCCACTTGTAAATGTAGTCACAGTAATTAAGTAACTAAGTAACTAAAATGCAGAGGTGTTAGGAAGTTTCCTCCTTTGTCCAGCTTTGCCTTAGAACCAGAAATCAGCAAGCTCAGCTGGCAAAATAGGCCATATCCTACTCCATTTACATAATGTAACTCATTTCACTGGCAGTAATCCAAAGACCTCAGTTGAAAATGGTGACAAGAACATCTACAGTTCTTATATCACATTATACTTGCCAGTAAGGCAGATCCTTTGGATTTGCAATGGCTGTGAATTTGCCTTTGTCACTTTCTTCAGCCATGTTTGGAGCGTACATACCACTAGGTTGAGACAGAGGAACAAAAAATTATATGATATGAGCAGTCTAATGCTCAAGGTGAGCTCTCACAACTGTTGGGTATCATGGTTTATCACTTTATGCCAGTAAAAATCTGACCCCATTGTACATGACAAAAATATGTCAAATGAGAACAGTATCTTTCGTATATGTGCACAGATTCTCATCGTATTCAACACAATCTGTTTCAATTCTTTCATTTCCACTTAAGGCATAATTCAATCCGAAGACAGCTCAACCTCTCCAACCCCGACTTCAACATCCAGCAGGTTCAGAAACAGGAGCAGCTGACAGGGATCGGCCGCATTAAGCCAGAGCTGTATAAACAAAGATCAGTGGACACAGACGATGGCCGGAGGAGTAACAGCAAGGCATGTGGAAAACTGAACTTTATTCTGAAATATGATTGCGATTTAGAGCAGTTAATAGTGAAGATACACAAGGCCATCAACCTGCCAGCAAAGGACTTCTCTGGAACTTCAGATCCATATGTGAAGATATATCTGCTTCCTGATAGGAAAACAAAACACCAGACTAAAGTGCACAGAAAGACCCTAAATCCAGTATTTGATGAAGTTTTTTTATTTACAGTCCCATACAATGATCTGAATGCAAGGAAGCTCCATTTCTCAGTGTATGACTTTGACAGATTCTCCAGGCATGACTTGATTGGCCAAGTGGTAGTGGATAATTTTTTAGATTTGGCAGATTTTCCCAGGGAATGTAATATTTGGAAGGATATCGAATATGTCACCAATGTAAGTATTACAATTTTCTTTTTTTGAAAATTTTTGTTTCTGATTTTATTTCCTTAATCTGATAGTAACTGAAATTGATACATTTGTGAAGGAAACTATTCTCTCTTTTTCTGAAGCTTTGACCTTAATCCAAGGAAATTGATGGTACATTTTCAGTCTTCATTTCTGATTCTTTGGATATATTAAAGAATGTCTTATGTAGGAGGTAGTGGATTTAGTCACTGTCCTGCTGATGAGATAGAAAAGCTGGAGAATGTTTTCCTCTTAATCATACTTAATCTAAAACTTACTTAAGGAAATACCGCTTCTCTTATTTTGCCTGTCTTTCTGTGTTTTGCTTGAGTCACCACATAAATTACAGCATACTAATCAGCCAGAAGTGGAGATCCAAAAGTTCTTCTGTGGTGCTCTTCAGTCCTTCAGAAGCCTATATTCTCATAAAGCAAGATACCACCACTCTATAAACCAGGGAAATAGAGTTCAGACTGTGCTGTTCCATGAAAGCAATGAAAAACACTGAAGTAGTTTAACTCTTTGTTTTGTATCTTTGTTACATAGGGAAACGGGAAACTTAGAAGTCCGTATTTCTGCTATCCCAAAGTCTCTGTTATCAAATTCTATGCACAAATCCAATTAGTGATTAGGTACAAACCCACAAAAATTACTTTTTGGAAAAGAAAGAGCTTTCTTCTCAAAGCATGAGCCAACCTCCTTGTAATGCTCTTAGAAGTTAATCACACTCATCCTATGGAGATCAGACCTTCAGTGAGAATGATACGTTACAGAAATCCTCAAAGGTACTATTGCCAAAATTCAGTAAATATTTCATTTGCTATGTCAATCTATACTCAAATTTAGCGCACATTTTAGAGTCAAATAAACCAAACATCATTAACAGTAAGATCAAAGTGTGAGTTTGTTAGACCTCAGTTCAGGAAAGCATTTAAGCATATGCTTAGCTGAGTGTAAGTAGCTGTTGAAAAGTAAAGGGTGTTCTGAGCCAAATAACTTTCCTGTATTCAGACCCTCATTTTACAACCTCTATGGTCTGGTAGCACACCCATATTACTGACCAAGTTGATTAAATCCATCTTTTTGTTTGGAATTTCTGTTTGAAAATTTATATTGTCCTTGTTTTAAGGTGACTTCTCAGTGTTCTTAGTCAGTGTTACCTATATTCCTGTGTCAAATGTGCTGTGCACCCACTGCACAATCCTCTTCCACGCTAGGATGGAACTGCAGTAGCAGCAGTGCTAGCAATTCCCTCACTCAAGGTACAGGCAGGGTCATGGACACTCAGCGTCACAGGAGGATGAACCCGGCTTTTCTATGAAAAGTTACTGCTCTTCAACTGCAAGGGAAAAGTAAGAAAATGACAGAGGAGATGACAGTCATTCTAAGTGAAAGCCTGTCTTCATACAGCATTACGTGTCCCAAGCTCAACTTCAGTTTTAAAATCAGCTAAAAGTTGAATGCACATGCACACTGGAGTTACTTTGATACGTACTAGGCCTTTTTCCATGCTTTAATTTGGGCAAGAGTGTCTCTGGTATTTTCTTTTTAATCACATCCCCTTACAAAGTTCAGAAGCAATGCAGCATATAGTTTGTAATCAGATTTCCTATAATCTCTGAAATTAAATTCAGGACTGAAGTGATTATTAATTCTGATGAATATTAATTCCTGTGTGAAGTGTAACCCTGTTAACCAAACAACACAGGACCTGCCATCTAGACTCATCACTGGGTTTTCAGCTAACAGAGACCTTTTCAAAGCAAATGATGCATAGTACTTAGGAGACACAATCCAATTTTGGCTAATGTGAGTTCTGAGATAAAAGTATCAGATAAATGAATGTATGGAGTATTCCGCTTACTAATTAACATTTTCAAAATTTCAAAGGTTAGAACTTACTCCATGAAGTTATGAGAAACCCTCCAAGCATCATTTAAGAAACCAAGTTTCAGCACTTTTTCCTGTCTGTGTAGCTTAGATATCTTGCAGACTGACAGCAGAAGCTGAACCCTACGGGCTACTCAGTGAAGCTGCTGAAGTGAAAACTCCTGTGGCTGCACTTCAAACCAGGCCAGCAAGCAATAGTAATGAGCCTCTGAAATAAATCTCAGCAAAGTTTAGAGCGCTGTTGGGCTGTTTATAATTGCAAACAGAAACTGTATCAACTGTAGCAAGTGTTCAATAACTTTATATTTGAATGTCTTGTTTTAAATAGTATTTACAGAACAGACCAATGATGGGCAAACTTACCGAAGGAAATTCACTTGATGTAGATCAACAAAGAGTGCAGCACAGGAGGTATAAACCAAGGAAACACACTAGAAAAAGGGAAGGTTCATACAACTACACATGACAAGTTTTGTCATACTCCTGAAGAGCACGTTCATTTTAATTTCTTGTTCATCTTATTACACTGCATAACCAGGAATCCCAGAGGGCTTTATTTTACATTCCCCATTTTATTATGCTCTAATCCAATTTGATACAGTAATATAAAATAATGTATTGAATCCTTTGCAGAGCAAAATAACCTACTTCAGGAGAGCACTGCGGCTATGCCTGTCATGTCAGCTTTACTGCAAACAATGCCATTCAATTGTCCTGTTATGCCATATGTTTTCTTCTGTTTTCTAATAAGACTGAAAGATTTTTTTTATCCAAAACCAAGAGGTTTGATTCTTTGGACTATAACATCTGCTGCTATCCCAGAGTTTGAAATTCTTTCATAACACAGACAAGCATTAGCATAAACTTTCTACATGCTCAAAAGCAATCTGCCCCCAAACACAAATCTCTAATATAAAAATGATTGTTCTTCTAATCCCAGGTCGTCTGTGCATAAAATCTCTTTCCTATAACACTAGCACTTTTTCCAAGCAGAAAAAAGCAGCAGTGGGCTGTTTAATGGAGGAAATAATTAAGTGGATCAACCTTAGATGAACATGAAATGAACTAGATAAGCTTTTTGTGTATTTACCAGACAGATTACACTAGTTTCTGGCTCACCAAGGAAAAAGATATATGTCATTTTTAGGCTGGGTTCCAGCAGTTGGCATGTTTTGCTTAGTAGCTTCTTAAACATGTTCAGGGTTTGGGGTGTTGGGGTTTTCTTGTTTGTTTCTGTAATGTTCATAGATTGATTGCATTTTTTTGAAAAGAGTTGTTAATATTTCCTTGGTTGCTGTCTTTAAACTCAGATGTGATCAGGCAAAAATACATGGCTTGTGAAAGACAGGTTGTTGTCACATGGTCCTTTTCAGGTAAAAGAGAACTTTCTCTTTAAGGAGATGATAGGTATCCACTTGCATAACTTGCTGTGCACCCAGAAAGGAAAATACTTTCTCAAGAATTGCTAGTTAAACACCAGCAGGCAGCTATAGAGAGAAGGATTACTGGAAATCTGGTTCTGGTTAATACTGGCTGTTTGGATTCTCAAAATGCTTGCCATTTGTCACTTGCTAAGCAAGCAGTCTTTCTAGATGAGTATTGAAAAGTAGCCTTCACTTAGAGCAAGGTGATAATCAGAGTAAAGAACAACGCACATTTCTATTCATACCTGGGCCAGCATTTTCAAAAATGGCTACTCATTTTTGGAGGCAAATTTGGTGCTTTCGTCTTACAGTATATACAGCTTTTGAAACTTATGCTATCTTTTCACATATAGTTATACTTGAGATCTAAGCATGGTACAATGAAAACTGTTCTTTTCCCGAGTGTCTAAACTTATATATATGCTTTAAAAAAAAAAAATCATCTCAATTTCATAACACACCATTGGCACCATTTTCTCATCTCACCCTAAGGTTGTACAGCCTGGACTAACCTGTTTTCGTGACTCTTTCAATTACATTCTAAAGGGATATTTACAACAGGATTTGCAGTGATTATGCACCTAATAGTCTATAAATTGTAACTACCATATTGACTCCTACCATTTATCCTTGTTGTGTGATTCCTTTGAGGCCCTTTGCTGTATCCACCTCCTGTAAAGGTGTGAAGTAAATTGAAACTGATAAAGGTAAAATCAGTTGCTCAGATTCAAACCATGGTTTACTCTTTATTTGCCAACAATTGGAAAGGACAACAGAAAGAAAGGATTCAAAAGGTTACTTTGTTTTGAAGTACTTCTGCTTTTGTGTTTAGGTGAACATTTAAGAATGCAGCATCCAGCCCCCAAAATTAAGAGATCATATATGATTATATGATAATATATTCATATAGTCATTCAATATGATAATATATTTCACTCACAAAAGGAGAGTGAAAGTATAGAAGGAAAATATTTCTGAGAGAAAGAGAGATTACAGAAAGACAATGCTGGGTAATACACATAGAATTTGAGAAGTAACATGTCACAGACTTTGGAGAATGTTATGGTTTGCTGAATATCCAGAAGATAGTTATGGATAGTTTAAAACTATAAAGATGCATAAGCTCTGACGTCCAGAAAGAGCAAGCATGTGCTTGAAGTTGCAAAGCCAAGAGATTGATTGCATCTGTTTTTAAGAATCTTCAAGCTCTTTTAGGGTATATGTAGTGGTCAGGAATACTATAGTGTGTCAGATCATGATGAATTCCTTTCACGCAGAACAATGAAGAAAACCATATTTTATTATTTTTTTTTTTTGTTACGTATTTAAGTTGTGTGTTGGCATACAAGATAGTGTTTTGACAAAGAGAGAATTAGAAAGTAGGATGGCTCTAAGTATTTGAAATTCTGCATTCTAGAAATGTTAATTGTTCACTGCTGTTATTATCAAGTTTGCCCAAGAAAGAAAGATTTGAGAATTTGTATTTTTAGGCATTTATGTTGTATAACTGAGATGCAGCTGGAATCATAACATTACCAGAAGGAAGTTTCAAGTTCCCTGTTTCAGATATGTTAATGCCAACCACAGTATGTGTGGAAGAGAGACAAAAAGAGTTTACATTATTTCAGTGGGTTGTTTATGGAAAGCATGATAAAAGTCTAAAACACTGAAACC